CTTTGTTTTTCTCTTTGAGGTCCTTGTGCATTTTTATGTGTATTTTTAGAACAAGCCTATGATTAGAGTGGCAAAGCCCCCATGGTTAATCTGTGTGAGAGGTAAAAGTGTCCCTTTATAGAAGCACCTGGGAACTTATCATTATGATGCACTCACTGGTAATTCAAGCAGTGGAAATTTGGGCAGTATATATGAGAATTTAGCTTGTCCTTCAGTGAAAATTATCTTGTTCAAGTGAAGCTATTTCACAGTGACAATCTCCTTTTCACTTTTGTAGGGTTCAAATAGAAAAATCAAACTCACTGCCATTGAGTCAGTTGTGACTCATAGAATGCCATAGGACAGGGGAGAACTGGCCCAGGGAGCCCCGAGATTGTCACTGTTACCAGGGTAGAAAGAGTCAGGGAATATAAGAAAATTCATACTTCTCACTGTGGTATTGTTTGAACTAAGGAGTATAGAATAGGTATGATACTGCAGTTACATCTGTATAGAAGTCTAACTTTGCTGTTGGATAATAAAACAGAAGTAAAAGAATTATGAGTGGTTTTATTGACCCTTAAAATTTTTGTATTTTACGGACCAGGTGCTGTAGGAAAAGAAAGGGAAACTGTATGAAGTAGAAAATGCTTTTGAATATATAAACATGTGAAACACTTTTTTGAGAAAGATGCAAACGGCAAAATATTTCACTGCTAAAATTGCAAACCGAAAATTTCTGAAATTAGATTTTGATGTACATTTTCTAAATAATGTCATCATAAAACCTAATTAGATAGGCATTCAGACACACTAATCCATTGTTTTGATTCTTAAGTAAAAGATTGAAATTTTTAGGATATAATTGAAAATATTTCATTGAATAACCCAATATGGGTTGATTTCCCAATTAAATTTCAAAAGATAATAAGCTACTTCCTTCACATAAATATACTAAGCGAGGGGGAAAAAACTGATCAGGAAAAAATAAATAGGTGTGGTTCTTTTTAAACAATCTTAAGTATACTGATATTTTGTTTCTTGACCTTATTAAAGTATTCATTGTGAAACGTTAAATGTATGTTAGCAAATTCAGGTTTTCATTTTTTATAATGACTATATTTTATTTAATATACATTTAATATACATTATAAAAATATCGACTATCAAAGCAAACCACAAAGAGGAGACCACTTTTTTAACCTATACTTTGACAGTTATCTTTCTAATACCTTACTATAGCTTTAACTTTTGTGTTGTAACATATTTAAGGAATTATTCAAATAAAAAGCCCAGGTAGAAACAAAGGAAGATCCAGAATCATGGACATTGTAACTAACTTCAAATGAACACCACTTATGAGTGTTTTGTTTGTGATCTGAGCTAATCAATTTGAAACTGTGGCCTTCCTTAGGTAAGGTCATCCAACCATGCTAAGTTAGGCATAAAAATAAAGTAAAGACGAAATGGAATTGGGAAGTCTGAAAGCGACAGGCCGTATCATTAAGTATATCTGTGATAAACATCATCGTGCCCTGCTTTGTTAGTGTACCTGCTCCTGAACTAGGGAGTATCCCATTATCTGACATTTTGCATTTAGAACTAATGAAAAATCTGTGTGCTTATTGTTCATGTGAATGACACATTCTGGTAGTAATGAACCTTGAGGTCCCTGGTGGGGTCTCTGACCGGCAGATCCTGTGCACGTGTAGAAAGCAAGCTTGTATTGCTTATTATTGTACCACCAGGAGAGGAAGAGAGGGAATATGGTCTCCCTGAGCCACTGGGTGCAAGGCAGAACCAAAGGGGGACTGGAATGGGGCTGGTGGGGCTGGATACTTCCCCATGAGTCCTTGGTTGAGGCCCATATAGCTACAGGCAGGGTCCTGATCACCTCATGGAGCCCACAAAGCAGGACGTTGGGGTGTAGCCCTAGTTCCCAGTCCCAGGGGATAGCAGGAACTGAGTGGGCTATGTTCAGAAGGAGCCCTGAAATGAGATGGATACTCTGGGGCCTGTAGGGCGCCACATGAGCTGACTCATGCCTGTGCAGCCCCTTAGACTTCCTCCATGCCCCCTCCTGTGTTGGCACAGAAGAGAATAGGGCAGGCTAGCTGGGTGGGGGAAGTGGCCGCTGTAGTTTAAAGTCAAGGGCAGAGGCTAGGCCTGGCCATCTTGGCTTTGGAGGCACTTCTGGACTATCAATTCTCATAAGGACATTGAGACAGAGGAGGGTAGGCTACCCAGCAAGAACCAGGGGAGGCTTGAGTGAGGGACAGGGGGACACAGTGGGCAATGTGAGCCCCCGCTATGGCACTTAGGCCCTCCTGCCCACAAACGGGGCCCATTTTCACTGGCAAAGCCAACAAGGGCATTTTGTGGTATTGAGGGAGTGAGTTGGGGCCACCCATCCTAAGGGCAGGAGAGGGGATGGTGGTGTTGAGGCCACCCTGACTTTGAAAGACTGGGTAGCCCTCTCCTGCAGGCAGTGGCAGGGGCCAAGCTCTTCTGAGGGTAGGTGGGGGAGGGAGAGGAGGTGGAGACTGGCAGGATTTTCACAGTCCAAGTAGTGGGGTACAGTGATGTGGTTATCCTTCTTTGAATAACTAACTTTGCTTTCGGAACCCCTATGAGTGATGAGTGCACATGCTATTTATTTTATCTTAATTTGATCTCATCCTAAGTGGGAATGTTGTCTTTTTATTCTCTTTTAAACATTTCTGGATTTAACATTTATAAAAAGGAAATTGGTGGTGTTTGTTTTTAATGTCTCAGTGGGTTTGTTTTTAAAGAAAAGATGTAGCAATATCAAGTTGAATACCAAACCTGTAACAAATCAATTTTGATTCATAGCTGCCCAATAGAACTGCCCCATAGAGTTTCAAAGGCTGTGAACCGTTACAGAAACAGGCTGTCACATCTTTCTTTTGTGGAGTTTGTGGTGGGTTCAAATCACTGACCTTTTAGTTAGTAGCTGACGACTTTAACCACTGAGCCACCAGGGCTCCTTATTCAAGTCAGACAGCCAGTGAAGTCAAGTAAAGTTGAGACAGCTCAGGGGTCCTTTGTTTCAGTGCAGATTCTGTCATTACCTTGCTTTGTTTCATTGTGGCTAAAAACACCTTCATTAGAACCTCATAGCGTTCGACTATCTTGCAAATTTTATAGAGCTTTCTTTGAAACAACCAAAATGTAATTGTTTTGTCTTTCCCCACCTCACCAGTGCTTCAGTGCCTATTCCTTATTTTGCAGTTATCAATAATGTCTGTATTTATTTTTTTTAAAATCATTTTATTAAGGACTCATACAACTCTTATCACAGTCCATACATACATCAATTGTGTAAAGTGCATTTGTACATTCATTGCCCTCATCATTCTCAAAACATTTCCTCTCCACTTAAGCCCCTGGCAATAGGTCCTCATTTTCCCCCTCCTTCCCCACTCCCCCCTCCCTCATGAGCCCTTGATAATTTATCAATTGTTATTTTGTCATATCTTGCCCTGTCCGACATCTCCCTTCACCCACTTTTCAGTTGTCTGTCCCCCAGGGGGGAGGTCACATATAGTTCCTTGTAGTCGGTTCCCTCTTTCCTACTCACTGTCCCTCTACCCTCCCAGTATCACCACTCACACCACTGGTCCTATAGGGCTCATCCGCCCTGGATTCCCTGTGTTTCCAGTTCCTATCTGTACCAGTGTACATCCTCTGGTCTAGCCAGACTTGCGAGGTAGAATTCAGATCATGATAGTGGGGGCAGGGAGGAAACATTTAGGAACTAGAGGAAAGTTGTATTTTTCATCATTGTTACATCGCACCCTGACTGGCTCATCTCCTCCCTGAGACACCTCTGCAAGGGGATTTCCAGTGGCCTACAAATGGGCTTTGGATCTCCACTCCGCACTCCCCCCATCATTCACTATGGTAAGATTTTTTGTTCTGATGATGCCTTATACCTGATCCCTTCGACACCTCGTGGTTGCATAGGCTGGTGTGCTTCTCCCATGTGGGCTTTGTTGCTTCTGAGCTTGATGACCGCTTGATTACCTTCAAGCTTTTAAGACCCTAGACGCTATACTTTTTGATAGCTGGTCACCATCAGCTTTCTTCGCCACATTTGCTTATGGACCCATTTGTCTTCAGTGATCCGTTGGACACCTCGTGATCACACAGGCTGATATGTTGTTCCATGTGGGCTTTGTTGCTTCTGAGCTAGATGGCCACTTTTTTACCTTCAAGCTTTTAAGACCCCAGAATGTCTGTATTTCTTACCTGGCTCTACCATTTCATAGTTGTTTGACAATTTACAACATCAGGTTCTTTAGCTGTAAAATAGAGATAACAAGGCCTACTTCATAGGTTTGCTATGATGAATTAATATGGAAAAAAAGTTCCTAGAAGAATTCTTGGTTATGTAATAAATTATCAGTTGATTAATATAAACTTGTATTATTATTGTTATAATGATGATGTACCTACTATCTATTCAACTCTGGAATGAATATTATGAGAGCCAATACAAAAACACATTATTATCTCAAGGACATCACTTATTTATTTGAAGAAAATGTCACAAGTCTATTTTGCAGCTCTAATGAACATGAGACTCTAGCCAAATGGCTCTCTTAGCTTCTTGGCTTATACTCTGTCAAAATTACTCTATAGATGCTTCCAGTTATCCTGTTAATTTTTCGTGCAGAGAGCGTCTGGGTTGAGTGAACAATCAATGTGCTCAACTGGTCACTGAAAGGTTGGAACTTGGTCCCTTCCTTCAGAGGTTGGCGTGCGAGATAGGCCTGGTGGGATCCAGTGTGGAAAAGCCAGCCCCTGCACACCCTCCGAGGCGCAGTTGGAGTGTATATCTGCCAGCAGTGGGCGTCAGCCTGACAGCAGTTACGACTTCTTGTTTTTAACTTTTGTCGGCTATTCCTTTACTTTTCTTAGCGCCACAAACACCGAATTGTACATGTGCCTTTTCATTTAAATGCCGCTAATTTCTGTGTCTTTGTCACCTGACTCAGGTGTGATGTCTTTGCTGAGGCCTCTTCTTCTGGATGTGGTCCCAACAATTCAACAGACCGCAGCTTTGGCTCTCGGGAGACTGGCTAATTACAATGATGACCTAGCAGAAGCGGTTGTGAAGGGCGACATTCTCCCACAGCTTGTTTATTCACTGGCTGAGCAGAATGTAAGAATTTTAAAAAATAAAATTGTATATATTTTTTGTTTAAAATTTGGAAAAAATGGATAGATCAGATAGAGTCCTATACGTGCGTGTATTAGAATTATTAGAATGTTGACAAGACCTTCAGTCCTCTGAACTGTGCATAACAACTTCTTTAGTGTATTTTGTCTTGAGGCCAATGTAGCTTTTGTCCATTACAGTTAATATAAAGAGAAAAAAAGATTTAAGTCTGCTTTATGTATAACCCCTTAATATTTATTAAGAAGAAATTATTTTAAAATAAGTTTTAAGACGTTGGACAAAGCAGAATTTTTGTGTATGAGAGTTCCAAACAGCTGTAAGATCAACCTTAGTGGGGGGAGGGGGGGTCCTGGGTAGATAAAAGGTTGTTTTCAGAAATCCTTACATACAGGTGGAATCTCATTAATGGAAACAGGAAGGAGCAGACTTGGAGAAAGAGGGAGGGGAGCAACCCAAAGGAAGAAGAGAATGCGCATAGTGACAAGTTTGATAAAGCACGCTTTTCTTTGTGACCATGTGTACAAGCATACCAGCCCTTAAAGGACCATCTACAAGTGTTCCGTTCCCCTCCTCCCCACCACCCCCACTTTACTCAGTCTGGTACCATTCTGTATTTCTGTTCAACTCTACCTATTCATTTTCCACACTAGGTAAGGACGTTCCAAATTGTCTGCTTTATCATGACCTAGGGATGTACTTTTATTGACCTATCTCTAAGATTTAATTCTTATCTCTGTAACAAAAAGAGAAATAGATTGATCTAAAACTGAGCAAAGGACATGAATAGAAATCTTTTCAAAGAAGACATATAAATGTCCAACAGGCCCATGAAAAGATACTCAGTGTATCTAATACTAATCACAACCTGCCTGCTAGGATGACTGTAATAAAGCAAAGCTAACAAGCGTTGGTGTGGATATGGAGAAATTGGAACCCTCATACAGTGCTGGATGGAATTTACACTGGGCAGCTGCAATAGAAAACAGTTTCCTAATTCCTCATTAAGTTAAACATACAATTGCTGTTTAACATAGTAATGCATAAGAATCGAAAACAAGTGTTCAAACAGAAATTTGAAAACTATAGTGTATATGCAAATATTAACAATTTGAACATAATTGTTCATAGCAGTACTAGTCATAAGAGCCACATGGTGTGGAAACAACCCAAATGTCCATCCATTGATGTTAAATAAAATACGGTGTACACATGCCATGGGATATTAGAATGGGAGTCCTTGGGTGGTGCTAGCTGCTAAGCACTTGACTATCTGAAAAGGTTTCTGGGTTGAAGCTACCCAGGGGTGTCCAGGAAGACAGGCCTGCTGTTTTGCTTCCAAAGAGTTCCAGAGTTTACTCTGCACATACAGGGTCTCCGTGCATCAGAATTGACTTGATGGCACCCTACAACCAGGAGTCCTAACCAAGAATAAAGTACTGATAGGTGATACCGCTTGAGTGAATCTTGAAACCGTTATGCAGACATAAAATGTCACAAATTGAATGATCTGTGTGGAGTAATGGTTATGCATTTGACTGCTGACAGCAAGGTCAGTGGTTTGAAACCACCAGCCACTCCACAGGAGAAAGACAGGACTTTGTATTCCCATGAAGAGTTATACAGTCTTAGAAACCCACAGGGGCAGTCTCACCTTGTCGTATAGAGTCTCTGTGAGTCGGCGTCCATTCGATGGCAGTGAGTTGTGTGTTTTTTCACAAAATACGCAGATTAATGGCAGCCAAGTACTGGAGAAAAAGGAAAATGGGAGTGACTGCTTAATGGGACATAGAGTTTACTTTTGGGATGATGAAATTTGAACCTAGATAGTGGTGATATTTGCATGGCATTGTGAATGTGCAAAATGCCACTAATTGTACATATTAAAGTGGTAAATTTTATGCCATGTGTAGTTTACTGTGGTAGGTAGGTTTATTGTGCCAACCTGGCCAATTAATAAGGTTGCAGTTTAATTGAAGGCAAAGAGATAAATGGTTCGGTGAGCCTTGCCTTTTTGTCTTGCTCTCTGATGATCGGACCAGTGTGCAACTGCCTTAGCTAGTTCTCTGCCTTGACTTGCGAGTTACACTACCTGTGGGATGCCCAACCTGCGGACCGTGTTGCTATAGTTTGAGGTTCCTTCGAGACCTGCTTCACCACACTGCTGGTGTATACATCACTTGAGCTGGGGACTGTCGGACCCTGTCATTTGGCTGACTGTTGGTGACCTGCCCTGCTGTTTGCTTCCTGTGGCTGGGCTCTCTGTGTTGCTCTACAGGAGACTCAGCTGTCTGCTTCCTTGACCTGCACCCAGCAGCCCACGTACCATATATACTCGAGTATAAGCCAACCCGAATATCAGCCAAGGCACCTAATTTTAGCAAAAAAATGGCATTAAAATGCTGGGAAAAGGGCTTGTACACGAGTGTGTACGGTAATTGAAGGATTGCCAGTATATTAACTGTTTCACAGAAGTGAGTTGAACTGAGCCCTCTGTGCTGCTCTGTGGGCTAATTAGCTGTTTATTTCTTCATGTTGTATATATCTATATCTATCTAATCATAAGTGTCCTGGTTTTGTTTCTCTAGAGAACTCTGTCTAACACAATACAAGATTAAAAAATAAAAATAGAATTTGCCTTAAATTTTAGATTGGTGAGATATTTAATAGGGACTAGGGAAAAAAGTGTATTTTTCTTCTGATGCTCCTGTCAAGGACTCTTGGCCCCTTCCTTTGAGAGGGCATGTGTTTTGGTATTCCCACAACAGGAGGTTCTCAGTGGAAGTTTTCTAAGTGCACTGACTGTCCATTAGTTGAAAAGATATTTTTAAAAACTATCAAGGGACAAAGGTGAGGGGGGAGTAACACTGATGGCTTACTCAAAAGCTTCTCTTTCCTTCTACCGACTAGTCCTTTGGGCCATTTCTCATAGGAGTCTTGAAGGTCTTTATGATCTACGAAGTCCACTGACTTTGTTCTTTTTTTTTTTTTTGGAAGGCATTTTTGTGTGTATGTGAAAAGTGTGAAAGAAGAAGTTAAGAATTTCTTCTATGAGTATTTTGAAGCCCTCTCCTATATATTTTCCATATATGTTAATGCATTAGCATTTTTAAAATAGAGGAAATATATAGTCAATATCAGTACTAATACATTTAGAAATTTTTTCAGTGTGCTATTTCCGGAGATACATGTATTATGTGCTAAAAGGATAATTTATGTATTCTCTTTCCTCTTTCATGTGTTCAGTGTATCTTAATATTTTCTCCTAAGTAGAATGCTTTCAAAATAAGTAAAGTTGCATTGTCACCTTCAGTAGTCACGGTAAAGAAATAGCAGCTGAGAATCTAATATAGGTGACTTACTGAGTTCTGTTAATAAAAGAGACCATTACATTGTCCTTACGCTTACAATAAAACAGCAGTCAAGTATTCTAGCCAAATATTTTCTATATATTTTATTTGGAGGGAGGGATCATAGATACATGCTAGCTTTATGTTTCAATTTCAATTTATTATTCCTTAGTCAGGTACAATTTATAGACTAATAAAGAATAAATATGAAGCAGTGTTTAAAATTCAAATAGTGAACTTGCTCTGATCTTTTAATAAAAAGCATTTCTAATAAGGAAATCATAATTTATACAGTGAACCCTCGTTTATCGCTGTTAATCGGTTGTAGACCCTACCGTGATAAATGAAATTCCGCAAAGTAGGATTCCTTATTTGTAAATCAAATATTTTCGTAGTTAGAGCATAGAGGACATGAAAAAACACCCTTTAGTCACCATTACACTCGTATTACCCAATTTATTAAACAAAAAAGGGAAAATACAGTAAAACATTTTGGACATTACAATTATCATTTATTATTTATTATATTATTTATGGCATCTAGTTTACAGTATTACATATTTCACATACGGTATTATTATACATAGTTCTTACAAATACTGTAATCAATGGCGTGCAACCTCCACGATTTTCTTGCCATCTTTGATCATATCCAAAAGTTTTACCTTTTCCTGGATGGTGAGCATCTTCCTCTGGCGCTTATTTTTATTGTCAGAAGGCTTAGAAGAAGCAGCTCGTTTAGGAGCCATCATAGGGCTTAGATAAAATTTCTTAAAAATCACAAACAATTACAGTACACTGTACAAAAGCAAAAATGCATCTGATACGTAGCTCCGATACGTAGTGATGCAGACAGAAGCGTGTACAGTATGAGCCAATCAGTGGCAGTAATGACAGAGCATGCGCTGTTACGCAAAAACCGCAATAGAGTGAAGCCGTGGAAGTCGAAGCGCGAAGTGGCGAGGGTTCACTGTATCCCAATATTTGGTTAATTTAGTTGCCATGGAAATTTAAAAAAAATTATCATGAATGTTTGCCTTTATCTTTATTTTATTATTGGTAAGTGCATCTGGAACATGATTATTATTTCAGGATAGCTTGGAACTCCAGAAAGAGTAGCTCAGGTCATGAAAGGCCTGCATACTGAGTGACTGAGGGCAAGTCAAGGAAAGGGGTTAGTTAGCTGGCTGGGGTTTCCTTGCACCTTCTAATATGGGGCAAACAGATTCTTCTCAGTGTAGTGCAGGCACATAGAACTACCTCATTATTGTATGACTTCATAGAAAGTAAAATGTGTTTTACTTCATATTGTTTCCAAATGCATATTTCAGGGTGTGAAACGCTTGAAATTTAATTTAAAGTTTACATTGTTCTCTGTTATTGAATAAAAGCAAGAAGGGAATAGCACATAATCAAAATGATTTGGCACACTGTCTTCGTCTCTTATATATATTTTTAATCATTTTATTGGGGGCTCCTAAAACATATCACAATTCATGAATTGTGTCAAGTACATTTGTACATTTGTTGGCATCATCATTCTCAAACCATTTGCTTTCTACTTGAGCCCTTGGTGTCAGCCCCTCATTTCCCCCTCTCTCTCTGCTCCCCTCTTCCTCATGGATCCTTGATAATTTATAAATTATTATTATGATGTCATATCTTACACTGTCCTGCGTCCCCCTTCACCCACTTTTCTGTTGTCCATCCCCCAGGGATGAGATTATAGGTAGAGCCTTGTAATTGGCTCCCCCTTTCCACCCTGTCCTCCTTCCACCCTCCTGGCATCGCACTCTCCCCACTGGACCTCAGGGCTTCATCTGCCCTGGAGTCCCCGTGTCTCTTGCACTTTTAACAGCTGTGGGTTTTCACTTATTCATATGTCATTTTATTGTCGGCTTTGATCTGCCCTATATTTTTATTATGTAAATGTTCAACTCACATTGGGTTTTATATTTTTTACTTTCGTAGCGTTTCTACAAGAAAGCAGCTGCCTTTGTCTTACGAGCAGTGGGCAAACATTCTCCTCAGCTAGCTCAGGCGATAGTGGATTGTGGAGCACTGGATACATTGGTGATATGCTTGGAAGATTTTGACCCTGGCGTAAAGGAGGCTGCCGCCTGGGCACTTGGATATATTGCGAGACATAATGCAGGTAACAGTATATATTTTTAACGTAAGTATTAAAATTTAGATTTATTAGGCATATCCAGGCTAACAATGCTTATTATTTAACCTTAGTTCGGATTTTAATGATGTACATGAGAGGTAAGTTTTGAACGATGACCCAGTTGTTTGGATCACATATTCTCCAAAAAAACCCCAATATATTCAATTTTCATTTTAGGTAGAGAAAGAAAAGTATAGGGGTAAGAGAAAGAGAAATTGTTCTTACCGTTTCATCAAAGATGCTACATAATGTGAACAAATAGACACAAGAAGAAAATAGGTTTTTTTGACAGATGTAGGAGCAATCAACCGTGCTAATAAAGAAGTGCATAGTAAAGCATCAGTGGAAACACGTGCTGTCATTTGTAGGAAGAGTAAGGGTCAAGCAGCAACACAGATGAGTGGTTAAGAGTACTGTGCATCAGGCAAGGTCTGAGTTTGCGCTCAAGTTCGATCACTTAGTTGTGATGTGTCTTGGATATATTTTGTAAATGTTCTGAGCCATAATTTTTCATCTACAAACAAAGGTAACTAGTAGTTGCTACTTTAGATACTTGTTATGAGGGTGATGAGATAATCTATGAAACAAATGCCTGGCCCAGTACTCAATGCATCGTGAACGTGTAAGATAATACAATGAGCTTTGGGGATGACATTTGTGGACATAGGTGGAAGAATTACGAATTCTACAAACCTGTGAAAAGCAGCTTGGTAAAACTGAGTCATGAAATAATTCATACATAATGCAGAAAGCTGACCTTGAGAATTCATTCTTTTTATAAAAATTTTCATTATGATTGCCTTTTATTATCATTATCTTTATAAATCTGAACTTCATTTGCCTTTCAAGGTTAGAAACATTACATTTATAGATATATTTAATGCTAAAATATACAATAAAATATACAAATAATAAAATTTTGCTCCCAACAATGAAGTTGGAGAGAATTCATTCTAAGGAAAGACTCCCAACAGATTAAAAAAGTTAATATTTATAAAATTATTGTAGCATTATCTGTACTATTAAAAACCTCAAGTATCTTACAGGGATTTAATGACTAAATTGTGACCTCTATTGCATTATATGCCTTATCAAAGCAAGCCTCAAAAATTACCAGGAATTAAAAAAAACAAACAAACTTCAAATTGTGAACTAGGTGAAGGTGTAAAGAGCAGATGATAGTTTTATATTCAACAATTTGTATACATTCTGATTCAACTCATCCATTGTAATCCCTGCATTGTACCAACACATATCCCACATCCTCCCAGTGTTTCCTGGGTCCATTCTTCCTCCATTCCTAAGCCTCTGAACCTTGCCCTTGGGTAAATGCTGCCCTTTTGATCTTAAGTGTTTGATTAATCTAACATGGGGGTGAATTTCAGTTCTAGACCTGAAGGTTAAGGGCTGTAATGTTGAGAGCCTCTATCAGACTAGTACACCTGACCTCTTCTATGATTCTGAGTTGTTCAGGGCCATGTTTCCCCCGTTCTATCCAGGCTCTTTGAATGTGACCCCATTTTGGAGTGATTGGTAGTAATAGCTGGGTACTACCTAGTTCTTGTGGTCTCAAGGTGTTGGAGACTGATGCTTGCACGGTCCATTAGTCCATTAGACTAATTTTTTCATGTAGCTTTTGATTTTCATCGCTCTTCTTTCTTCTGAATGGGAAGAGACCAATAGTTGAACCTTAAATGGCTGCTTATGAGCTTTTAAGACCTCACTTGCTACTTAGCAATATAGTACATTCTTTGGAAATGTGTTGTGCCATTTGACCCCGATGTCCCTGAGACTATGGTCCTGATCCCTGCCAGGCCCAGTGACTTGTTTCCTTAAGGTGTTTGGTTACATCTGAGAAGTTTTCATAACTTTGCACCATGTATGTCTGTATGCTCCAACACATTCATGGATGTACATGCAGCAAAAATAAATATGCACATATCCTCTGTCAAATCTCTATTCATGGCCAGCCTCCCACTCCTTCTCCTGCCTATTCAACCTGTGTTCAAGCATAATACTAGGGGATACAAAAAAAAAGTGGAATTTATTTCCCCCCAAAGCTATGTATTTTTTTCACCCAGTCTCCAAAGACTTCATTGTATTGGTCAGTGTGCTTTGGAAGGAGACAGGGCATTAATCCTACTGCTTCCAACCCCAGATGCAGAGCGGTACCCGGGACAGGTACAGTGCCAATGGGCCCACGGGGATGGGACTGCTTTGTCTGCCTCTTACTCATAGATCCAGTCACAGCCACGAGATGCGTAGTCCACCAGTTCCTCCGCTTAAACCAGAGGCTGATTTCTTTCTTGTCGCTCTTGACCGAATCACTGCCATGAAGGATGTTCCTGCCAACTTGACCACAGAAGTCCCCTCGGATGGTGCCTGGCTTAGAATCCGCTGGGTTGGTCTCTCCCAGCATCACCCTGCCTGTCTTCACCACATTCAGCCCCTCCCACACCTTGGCCACAATTGGTCCCGAGTTCATGTGCTCCACCAGCCCTGGGAAGAAGGGGAGGTCTTTCAGGTCAACGTAGTGCCGCTTCAGGTGTTCCTCGGAGGATTGAACGAGCTTCATGCCCACCAGACGGAAGCCCTTCTGCTCAAAGTGCTTGATGATGTCGCCCACCAGGCTATGCTGCATGCTGTCTGGCTTGATGGCGACGAAGGTGCACTCACTGTTGGCCATGGTGCAAGTCCGGTGACGGGGGAGTGGGCAGCCGGATCGGCGGAGCTGACAAAGCTATGTATTTATAATTTTTTTCTTTTTAACAAAACAACCTTATCACCTTCAAAATGCTGTCCATTGCACTTAATACAGTTGTCAAATCTTCTATTCCATTCTTGGAAATATTTTTCAAACTCATCTATTTAGATGGCTGACAGCACCTCCCTCATTTTTTCTCTTCATCTCTTCTGTCCTTTCATGTCCCTTTTCATTTGTGGAAACAAAAAGAAGTCTCATGGTGCAAGGTCAGGTGAGTAAGGTGCATGGGGCAAGAGAGGCATGCTGTTTTTTGTAAAAATCGGGCTCACTGAGTTGGCTTTGTGAGCAGGTGCATTGTTGTATTGGCAAAACCAGTTCCTCATCTGCCACAAATCAGGGTTGTTGTTTTTTTGCCACCGTTATGCAATCTTTTCAGAACCTCTAAATAGAAACCTTGATTAACAGTGTGACCTGGTGGAATGAAGTCCAAATTCACAATCCTCATATCAAAAAAACACAAATGACCATCAATCTGATCTGTGATTTCACTTGACAAGCTTTTTTGGGGTGAGGTGATGATGGTGTCTTCTACTGGCTTGATTGATGTTTGCACTGGGGTCCTAAGAATAGCGCCATGTTTCATCACCAGTAATGACCTTGGAAAAAATTCTGGGTCACAGGAGCTGTTCTTTCAAAGCACAGCATGTTTCCTTTCAACGCTCTTTTTCCTGGTCAGTCAGAACCTGGGGCACAAATTTCGCAGTGACGTTTTCTCATTCTCAAATCTTCGTTACAATTCTCTGAACCAAGCTCTACGTTAGTGCAGATAACTTCCCCATCTCTTCAGTGGTCCGTCATCAGTCTTCAAGCACAAGTGCACAAATTTTGTCGACATTTTCATCCATTTGAGAAGGTAACAGACTTCCAGAAAGAAGTTTGCCATCGATCAACATTCACCTTTTGAAACAAGAAAACCACTTGTATGTACATTTGAGTTTTTCCAGCTGTGTTCAACATCACAAGAGTTTCTACGGCATTTTTCCCAAGCAGGAAACAAAAATTCATAGTCACATGCTTTTCTCTTAAATCAGCCAGCACAAAAAATGAGGCTTGAGTAAAACTGCTTTCACGAAAAATTCAAAGAGACCCTTTCCAGGCAACGCCACTGGGTGCACTAACTCAGAGTGAGTTGTTGGATACTTGCCTAGTGGGAAAAATGCGCACTAAGAAAGCTTCTCTCAATGGAACTTTTTTCCATTTTTTTTGGGGGGGGGTACCCTCTTGTATATTCGTAGATCCCCATAGTTGTAAGATTGTGTGTACAAGTATTTCCCTCTGTTGCAATTAACTCTTGGTTAATTGGAATTTAAGTCGTGATAGTTAAATTATGGCTGTATCCTTAATAGTGATATCATTTAACAAATTGAAAAGGTAATTATAAACATGACAGAAAAGTGATTGTCCTGTTACAAAAGAAAATTAGAGATTATAATTGCAATAATGTAAATGTAAGCTAAATTACAAAGAAATGTGCTTATATTACTAGGGTAGAATTAACGTGTTGTTTTTTTTCATTTTCTAAAATTTTCAAATCAGCTGTTTGCACGATAAATTGTTGGGTGCTGTGGTGTTAATTCCAGCTCATAGCCTCCCCATGTGACAGAGAGGAACTGCTCCAGAGGATATTCTGGGATGTAATCTTCATGATGGCAAGGTCTTAATTGCGGGAGTGTTCGAACTGCTAATATTGTACTGCATATGCTCGAGTATAAGCCAAGCCGAATATCAGCCGAGGCACCTCATTTTACCACCCAAACTGCATAAAGCGTGCTGAAAAACTCGGCTTATCCTCGAGTATATATGGTAGTTTGTAGCCAAGTATTTAAACATTGTGCCATCAGAGTTCCCTGCACAAAATAATAGCTAGTATATATTGAGTAATTACTATGTGCCTAGCTTCACATTATTTTTACTTCATTTTGATTGCAGCTACTTTTAGACATTCCCCTCCCAGTTTAACAGAGTGGAAAGTAGAACTTAGGGAGAATACCTGAAATTATGTTACTGGTAGCGCGACAGAGGTAGTCCAAGTCTGACTCCAAAGCCCAGGCGCCACACACTGAGCTTCACTGGCATTCTTCCTGACAGGGCATCAAAGGAAAAATTAAAAACAGGAACTAAAGGAAGAGCCTCTCCCTCTGTTCTGTTTAAATTAATTATTTAAAAATTGTCACTATTAGAGACCCCCTCAAAATACAGCAATAAAAAACTAGGACGAGAA